CTTTCCCGAACTGCCTCAGAGAAGGGTATAGTTTCTTGACAATGTCTAACAGAAGCTATACTTTCCTTTTGGACACCGTATATACCCATAAGGGATTCCTTGTGCTGTGTTATCGTTATAGTGTAAAAATTAAGAAGGCTTTTACCTATAACAATATGTAAGTACTGTTATTATACTGTTATCAAAAAAATATATATTATACTGTATAATGATCTGTCAACTATGTGACTAGCCTTGCTCAAGAGAATTTGCGTAATAATTTGGTTCTTCGAATATGATGACTTGTAGAGATTTTATATAAGAAAAAATAAGGTAATGTTAGCGTTTGTTATATCTTATATGCTCACTTGAAAGTTTTATATAAAGTTTGGATACTCTTTTTAATTTTTCAATTTCATTATACTTCTATATATCAAAAATAGTTGAATGGACTGATGTACAAATCTGCATATTAATTGATGAGAGAAAAGGCAGAAATACCAAATATTATAATATCATTTCTCGTAACCGCATCAGATTTTGTGAGAGCATTGTAAAGAAAATTAACCAACAATATAATACAAATTTCAATAGGTACTAGTGCAAAGATAAGTTCATGAATTTTGTAAGAGATTTTTATGTAAGTACATCAGACTTTATCTATACATTAATTGTATATCATTGGTATGTAAAAACTAAGAATCACATGAATATTTTTTATTAGCTGGTGTGCAACTTTATGGTTAGAAATAGTAAAGGGAAAAGAAGTAGGACTGGTGAGTGTTATTTCGATGAATTTTGTACCTGCTTTTGGAAAAAACCAGGTAAGTTGGCCTGTGCATTTTATGCATCATAATCAATTACATCTTCTGTCATTTGGTTTTCCATCTGATGATATGCTGGTTTTCTTAGTTACTCTATTCAATAAGGTCAGGAATACAAACTTATCAATACAAAGGGGTGAGAAAGATATGAGAACTGTATACCACCCCCTTCATATGAAGAGGTTACCACTATGTTAAATTAACAAGTTTCTTTTAATAGGCAAAGAAGTCAAAAACAGTTCCCAGTTAATAATGCTAATAGTGTTAATGATGCTAATGGTGTTAATAATGCTAATGGTGTTAATAATGCTAATGGTATCAATAATGCTAATGGTGTTAATAATACTAATGCCAATAGTATTAGCCATGCTAGTCCGGGTGGAGAGAATTAGTGACTATGCATTTGCCAATTTATTTGTTTGCATCTTTTTGTAATG